GTTAGAGTTAGGGGGTAGAGTTAGGGGTTATTATTTAACGTTTATTAAGAGGAATAACCCCTTGAGATGAAGCATCTCGTTTCCGAGGGGGTCCTCAAAATCAAATTCCAAAATAACACTACAGCAGCATCAGTCGATGATATACAAAACTAAATGATTACATTAAACAAACACACAAAAAAGAAAACAGGACAAAAGCTCAACACATTCACTCACACACACACACTGAGCTCTCAGAGGTTACACACTCCTCCTATAACTACAGTAAAGGACAATACAAATTAAATCCATTATAATACTGAGAATACAACTGAACACAGCAGAGACATAATACAACAGAAGACACATCAAAAGTTACAGACAGTTTTAAAGTGCTGTAACACAGTGTTCTTAAACAAAGGGAAGGAGGGGAGGGAGAAGGTTCCAGTCCGTCAGGGCTTTGTAATGAAAAGCAAGTTTTTTAACATCGGGGGTGAGGAAGAAAAGAGAGTCAGAGTCAGTGTGATGAAGACTGTAAGTGCAACTAAAAGGTGTAAGGTATTGTTTCAGTTTTGTGAGATAATTAGAATAATTACATTTAAAAATGTGGCTCATTTGGTAGAGCATTGGTCTTTGGGCCTGAAGGTCATGGGTTCGAGCCACAAGACCTACCTCACGACTCTCACTGATGACTGCTGTCGTTGTGTCCTTGGGCGACAGTTAACCCCACTTTGCCTGAAGCCCCCGCTGAAAGATCTCAGCTCCTGTGGACTCACCACCTGCAGCAGGATCAGTGAGGGGCTGGTGCTCTGTGGACTGGGTGCAGCTCTGACTGCCACCCCCCCGACCCAGAAATGGATTAAGAGGAAGAAAATGGACATTTAAAAATGAAGAACAACCAGTGGGAGTGTCGACGTGCAGGCAGTGAGGACCAGGATAATTGGAGAAACATGTCACAGTGTGTCCTGTAGGGGCAGCGCAGAGCAGACCTACACAGGCTGTTATAGACTGTGTTGAGGGGATGGAGAACAAGGATGGGAAGTAACTGAGAAACAAGCCTTTTCCGGACAGAAAAATTAAATCAGTTGATGGAGCAAAAATAAAGTTTTTAAGAAAATAGTTTAATTGGTCGACGATCTTATGAATATGAGTTTTAACAGAAAGGTTTGAATCCAGCCAAAGGCCGAGGTATACTTTAACTCTTCCACACATTTAACAGGAGACAAATCTAAAAAGTGAAGGTTGAGCTCAGGTTAATGTTTGTTTGTCTTCTGAAAAAGCATGGTATATGATTTGGTTTTATTTAAAATGAGTTTATTGGAAAAGAGCCAATGTTGAACTAAATCAAAATCATATTGCAGGGAGTTGCAAATGTCTGAGACGTTTGGTTTTGAACAGTAACCAGTAAATATACTGGATATAGTATCATCTATTCCAGCACTGCTGCTGAAAGACAGTTCTCCTGTGGCCCTTTCGACATCAGCAGGACTAATTTCTGCAAATGAAAAAGAACTGTTGCAGGGTTGGGTGTAGTGGTCAGGAGCAGCTGGATGGAAAGGAGGATGAACGTGAGGAGATTGGGAGAAATGCAGACTGAAAGCATTGGCAATAGCAGCGGGATCATTTATTTCACTGTTTATATTCATTTGAATAGTGCTTTTATTAGATTTAGTAGATTGTTCATCTTTTTCCGGACTTGTCTTGGATTTCTATAGTTGTTTGACAGGCTGTTTGATATGGAGTTTCTGGTTTGAGTTGTGCGTGCATTTATGTATTTCTCCCAAAAAAGCTTGGTCTGATATACTCTCCATGCCCTATAGCTCTGCTTTTATAAATTAGAGTTAGGAGTTAGAGTTTGAGGTTAGAGTCAGGATCTTTTGTATTTTGATGTATTTTTAGACTCTAAGAGAAGAGAGGACCACCCTCCCTCAGCCAATCAGCTCTCAGCCCAAAGGGTCCAATAGTGACTCGGCTCTGTCTCACACATTTGCAAAGATCCATTTCTAATGAGACAAGAACATTTTATTTCTCAGACTCTTTCTGTTGGAACAAACACATGTATCAGACGACCTGAACTCTGACAATAACAATTATATTTGTGTCAATCTCATACATCAAGTGTTTATTTCAGATTTTTAGGAAAGCAGATGACAGTTTATTGAGAAATATTATGATTGTACACATTTCCTGTTTGAGAGGCGTCCTTCCTCTTCCACTTCATGTTTACAATTCACTGAAAGCGACGAAATATCTGCTCACGGAAAAAAAGACGTTTTATATTTGGATTCTGGCTTAATCTATCTATCTTTCTTTTCACTTATAGCCTGCAACTGCTGAGACTGCTACTGCTGAGACTGCTACTGCTACTACTGCTACTGCTGAGACTGCTACTACTGCTACTGCTGAGACTGCTACTGCTGCTACTGCTACTGCTGCTACTGCTACTGTTGAGACTGCTACTGCTGAGACTGCCACTGCTACTGCTGTTACTGCTGTTACTGCTACTACTGCTACTACTGCT